GGGGGGGGAGGGGGGGTAGCGAAAAATTTAAATACGATGTTGCATATAATTCTTTAGTACCCGACATTTATCTATATATATATATATTTTTTTTGACATTCTTCGCAGGGAACGTCAAATTCAAATTGTTTTAGCATCGATGTTGTAATAATCCCAACGATTCTTTCCAACGCTTTTACATATTTATTCCTCTTTTTTATATATAAATAACCTCGACGCGTACTCTTAGTAACTCTATTCTCCGCCAGTTTTCGTACCGAATTTCCACCGATTAATGATCAAAGTCACCTCAGAGTGGCAGCTGTCACACAGAAATTCATAAATATGGTCGCATATTTATATCCGCCATTTTTGCCTGTCTGCGCGCGCCTTTTTTTTTTTTTGGAGATTGAGTTCGAAATTAGGTTGTCTTCTCGATTCCGCGAGTCCGTGGGCCGGCTTTTGGATATGCATTAGGGAATGGAATTCGGGAGAAAGAGAGCTGATGAGGGGGATGGTGGTGGGGTGGTTGGTGGTGTTTTGACGCTGGTGTGGTGAGGGTGGTGTTGTGATGGTGAAGTAATGATGGTGTGGTGATGGTGGTGTCGTGATGGTGTTGTGATGGTGAGGTTATGATGATGAGGTGACGCTGGTGTGGTGATGATGGTGCTGTGATGGTGTGGTTATGATGTGGTAATGATGATGGGGTGATGGTGGTGTTGTGATGGTGTTGTGATGGTGATGTAATGATGGTGAGGTGATGGTGGTGTTGTGATGGTGAGGTAATGATGGTGGGGTGATGGTGGTGTTGTGATGGTGAGGTAATGATGGTGAGGTGACGCTGATGTGGTGATGGTGGTGCTGTGATGATGTAGTGATGATGGTGAGGTGACGGCGGTGTGGTGAAAGTGATGTGGTGACGATGTTGTGATGATGGATTGTTGTGTTGTTCATTTTATGTTCTTCATGTATGGTATGGCGATTGTGATGGTGTTGCGTTCTAGTGTGTGGTGCTCCGTGGATTTGGTGTGGT